GGCAACTTCGGAATAGGTCACGGTTCGTTACATATGCACTGCCGCCCCCCCCCTCCTTCTCTCCTCGGCCCCCTGGAGGGGGGAGCTCGCAGAGTCGTTCGGGCCCCTGTGCGCGCGGCCCTCTCCCCCAGATGGCCTGCGGGGGAAGCTCGCAGGAATGCTGCCACTCTACCTCCTCCTCCTCCTCCTCCTCCTCCTCCTCCTCCTCCCCCTCCTCCTCCTCCTCTTCCTCTAGCCTCCACCTGTTCCTCCCCCCCCTCCTCCTCCGCGTCTTCCCCCTCAGGCCAAGTTGGTGGAGATCGCCGCTCGCCGAGTGGTGATCCCTACCAAAGCCTCCCTCCTCCTCCTCCTTGTCCTCCTCCTCGCCCCCCTCTTCGCCTGTCAGAGCAAAACCGACCATTTGCGTCCCAGAGTGGTCGGTTTCCGTTTTCCGTAGTTCGAGGTGTGCTCGTGATTCACTTGCGCGCTCTCTGCATTGCTCCCATTGTTCCTCCTGCTCCTCCTCCTCCTCCTCCTCCTCCTCCTCCTTCTCTCGTCCTCCTCCTTCTTCCCTCCTCCTCCTCCGCCTCCGCCCCCCCCTCCTCTCTCCCCAGGACCTTAAGGTGGCCATCAAAGAGTGCCAGAGCCGGTTCAAGGCCATCTCCCAGGCGCAGCAGGATTTCGAAGCGTGTCTCAGGCAACACATCGAGCTCAGGCTCATCTTCGGCAATACTTTAAGTTCGGTCCTCGGCCCTGAAGGGGTTGGGTTGGCCCTGAAGGATGCTGGCCTCATTCTGGGGAATCTCAGCGCCATGCAAGCTATGTTTCGCACGTTGAATGCTGGTGAGACCCGGACTGGCCTGTGCAAGCGGGCGCATCGTGGCCTCGCCCGCTCAGAGTTCATGAGTGCTGACGCTCGCGCGATGTTGCATCTAGGCAATATGGCCAAGGAGGCACCCCCGGCCAGTGTATAGTTGGCCAGTGTTTCTCCTGCACTGTGTGCTCGTGCGCGCGGCTCGTTTTCTTTTTGAAGGCAGCGTGGGGGAGGGCCCGGGGAGGGGGAGGAAACCGTTTCACAGTAAAGGTTGAGGGACATCACCATCGCCCCTTGCCCTTCGATTGCCTTCTCAGTTTGTCAGCTCGTACTTTCGACGTCGCCCGCCACGTACCGTGGTATGCTTGTGGTGTGCGCTGCTATGGTACATAGGGCAGGCCGTCGTCACTTGCGCGCTTCGCTTCGCCTCGAGGCTCTTACGTTAGCTCGAGGCTCGAGCTGGTCCCACGTTGGTCCAAGCAGTGATCGGCAATCAGCGACTCCGATGCTCACCGTTGGGTATCCGCGGCTTTGTAGCATCTTCGTCGCACAAGGGTCGACAATAACTTCCAAGCTGGTGATTTGCTGAGCGTACACATCGCTGTAGTAGGAAATATGGGAGTGCAGATCGTCGATCTCGCTCTCACTCTCACTCGATCTGAGATCGAGTGAGAGTGAGAGCGAGAGATATGAGGAGGGAGGGAGGGAAGGGGGGGAGGGATGGGAGGGCACGGGTGAGACAGAGAGGGAGAGCGAACAAACAATGTATAACTCTGTATAGTATAATGCACATGTGTATAACTATGTTCTAACATGTACCATAGATCAAACAACAAATGCGTTCTCCCCTCGCCACACCCCCCACCTCCCACCTCCCCCATCAGTGCGAGAGAGGCGAGGCAGGCAGGCGGATGGCCCTGCCTGGCCACGGGTCGCGTCGTCGCGCAGCTGCTCGAGCCGAACGCAGGCTGCGCCCCGCCACGCTCCATCCATCTCGCTGCCGTCGCTACCATCACTGCCCGTTCCCCCCCCTCCTCCTCCTCCGCTTGCTTCGGGTCGGGCGAAAGGGGGGGGTTGGGAAAGGGGGGGGTACGAACTCTGCTGCATGCAGCTGGTTTCGGCCCGACCGAGGGGCCCATTCCTCGATGCATGGGCGCCTCCCGGCGCCGGGAGGCGCCGGGAAAATCAGCTACGCGAGCTGATTCTCAACCCCCCCCTTTGCTATCCCCCCCTTTCGCCCGACCCGATTGCTCCCTCCAAGAACGAGGAAGGATGAGCGCGGGGGAGGGGGGGGGATGGGGGTGAGGAGTAGGAGGAGCGAGGGGGAGGAGGAGTGAGTAGTAAGAGGAGAGGAGGAGAGGATGAGTAAAGAGTAGGAGGGAAGAGGAAGAGAAGGAGTAGACAGTAGGAGTACGAGTGGGAGTACAGTAGGATCAGGAGTAGGAGTCCGAGGAGGAGGAGGAGGAGGAGGAGGAGGAGGAGGAGGAGGAGGAGGAGGAGGAGGAGTGGAGGAAGAGGAACTGGGGCCCCCCCGTGCCAGTAAATCCAGCCCACTCCTGGCGCGCGCGAGGCCCCCCGTGCCGGGAAGTTCCGCCCATTCTTGGCACCGATCAGGCGCCACACACCCCTAAGCAGAGTGTGTCGCGGTTAGCGTCAAATGCATGCATGGTGTTGTTATGCATCTCTGATCCGATCCGATCTTGACCCCGTGCCGAAGCAGCCTGAGCCGACGCACATTCCGATTCGAGCCGATTTCCCGATTCGATGTTGATTGATCCTGTCGCTTCTTCTCCGCACCTCTCCACTCCACTTCCGCCTGCACAACGGCGTTGTCTGGTCCGATCACGGGCCAGGGATTGACCTGGCCAGGGTTGGCGCATCTCTGCGCGTGTGTGTGTGTGTGTGTGTGTGTGTGTGTGTGTGTGTGAGCTGTTGCCGTTCCCCGAGTTTCCCCTCCGCCCCATCCCCTTCCCCTCTGCCGCCCTCGTTTCTACAGCTGCGGCCGGCCCGAGGTACAAGATCGAGGTCGGTTCGGGAAGCGTACGTACCTTGATGCTTCTCTTGTTCGTTGGATGCTCTGGTGCATCCTGGGGGGCTCCTCCTCCTCCTCCTCCTCCTCCTCCCTCCTCCTCCTCCTCCTCCTCCTCTTCCTCCTCCTCCTCCTCCTCCTCCTCCTCCTCCTCCCCCTCCTCCTCTCTCGAGCGATCTTTATGGCTTGGGGCGTCGTGGCCGGCGGAGGGTCTCATGTTCTCTTGAAGGATGTTTTTTTGTTTGTCCTCGGCCCGACTTTGGTCAATGCCTGACATCGCTCGGACGTGTGCATTTCTTCCTTCGGCGAGGGCCGTCGAGGAGCATCCTCGATCGTTTGGCGAAGAAGCCACGCACGAAACCGACAAAAAAACACGGGGAATGGACGTCCGAGCGATGGCGAGTCAGTGTGGTTCCTACGCTCCTCTCTCCTAAGCAGGGCAGCGCCTCTCCTGCACGTTGTCTCAACGCACCGGAAGTCACATGTGGTCTCTCGCAGGGTTGTCTCCACCGGGACGCTTTGGGGTGCTGTTGCTATTGCTTTCCGCTGCAGTGGAGGCTTCATGTCGGCATCGGCGCTCGGCTCCAGTCGTTCAGAACGGCGCTCACGCCCGAGCTCGGGCCTGATTTCTGGATCGGAGTCCTTCCCACCCATTTCCCTCCACCGCCCTCGCCTGGTCCTCCAGCTCCTGCCGTTCCTGCTCCTTCTCCCCCCTCCTCTTCCTCCTCCTCCTCCTCCTCCTCCTCCTCCTCCTCCTCCTCCCTTCTTTCCTTCCGTCCTTCCTTCTCCATCCTCCCGCTCATCAGCCACCTCCTGCTCCTCCGCCTCCTCCTATGTACACAGCTTCCCTTCCTGCTTGCGCATAACACGATTGGATAATTTCGGGGGGCCCAGGTTCGCTACGACCCCCGTCGGCGAATATACACGAGTCGGCGCAATGGGAAGGGATGTGTCAGAGGGGCAGAGTGTCAGATATGGCGCGAGCGCACCCAGCTTGACACTCCCCCCACTCCATCTCCCCTCCCCCTGCCCCCTCTTTTATATGCACCCGTCACACCCTCCTCCCCCCCCCACCACCACCACACTCTCCCGTTCTCCTCAGCTCTTCCTTTGTCCCCCTGCCCCTAACCCCTCTGCCCTGCCTCTCCCGCGCACCCTTTCCGCCACCCGTCCGCCCCCCTCCGTGGGCGCAGGTTTGCCACGGCACGCCGGGCATTGTTGGCTGCTTTGGTCGATGTGCTCCCTATCAGCTTTCACTAACACCTCCCTGCTGTTGGCTGCTTTGGTCAACGTTCTCCCCATCAGCTCTAAGACCTCCCTGCTCCTGCTGTGCCTTCCAGAGCCTTTTTCTCCACCTTATCCGACTCTCCGCTGCCCCTCCCAGATCCCCGCTCTCGTCTCTCCCTCCTGATGACCTGGGGGCCCGGCAGGTCTCCGCCGAGCTGGTGTCATCTCCGTCTGATCGGATCGCATGGCCCCTCGATGATGTGAAACCTGTTGCGTAGGCCTCAGGGCGCGCTCGAGTTTCGGAGTCCTCTCCCTCCTCCCTCCTCCCTTCCCACAGCCCTCTCTCCCCTGGGATTTCTGCTCCTGCTCCTCGTCTTCATCCTCCCCATCGTGCTGCTCGTCATCCTGCTCCGCCTCGCTCTCCCGCTCCCCCGTGGTCCTTGCCAGCCGGCCTCGTCATCGCCCCTCCGTCCTCCCAGCCGCTCTCAGCCCCTGTGCATCGCCCGCGGGGGCCCGATGATACCCGTGCCTCGCGCCCCGGGCCAGAGGGCCGTCCAGGAGCGCGGTCAAGGCAAACACGTTTCCAGCAAGCTCTCGGAATGGGAACGAGCAGCTCGCTGGAAGGAACGAGCACTGCATTCAGCGAGGGCATGTTTTCGGCGTCCCCCCAACATACTTATACTATGTGTTCGTCGCCCCCCAGGGGCGACGCGCGCACCGAGACATCTTGTAGTACATGCGTCGTGGCGGGCGCTTTCTGGCCACACCGCTCGAGAAACGATATAGTACAAGATGGGTATACTATATGTTCGGGTCGGCTGCGCGCCTCCAAGGCGGACATGTAGTATTAGTATGTCTTTGTGCGTCCCATGTTTGCCGATTCGTGCTGGAGTGTCTCACTGACCTCAGTGAGTGTTTGTGGTCTGCGTTCCGCGAGGGGGGCTGCGCGAGGCGGAGAGAAGGGCCAGAGCTGAGGCAACGGCGGCGCTCCCGCCGGGCCCAGGAACCGCCCAGGATCGATCCCAGGGCTGGACCTAAACTTGTGGAGGACGGTCAATGGAGAGGGAGCATGCTGACAAATAATTTCCAGATGTCAAAAAGCTTCAAACATGTTTTAGGTATGTAAACATGTTCGAAACGTTTTTAGCCAGGTTTTATACATGATAACGCACATCTTTAATTCAATGATCGGACTTTTAGGGTGTCCATTGTCGTGACATCCACAAACCTAAACGGTGTTGTTGGCGATGTCGTGGGCCGTTTTCGTTTCGATTTCGAGACGAAAGCGAGGGAAAACGAAAACAAAGCGAGAACGAAACACACCGTTTAGGTTCAGCCCTGATCGATCCCTAGACCCCTCCCCGAGTTCCCTCTGACCCTTTTCTTGCTCCGATGCGGACCCGGCCGTGGCGGCAAGGACGCCGAGACTCAACAGAAACAGGCCCCGGCTAGCCGACGATGAGAATGTATCATTCCGCGCCCTGCAGAAGTTTCGACCCCTTGTCCCGTCGGAAAACTGTTCGCCCCGGATCCGTTTCTGATGGCCCAAGGGCGCGATAACTCTAGGCCTCCCAGATGGGGTCGGAGCAGATGGTGTCGGAGGATCGCGCCGCATCGCCGATGCATCGGCGACGCGGCTCGATGTGGAGCCCGAGCTTCTCCGCGCCGACGTCGCCAGTACATCGGCGACAGTGTCAGTGCATCTCCGAGGCGTCGCCGATGCATCGACGATGCATCGGCGATGCGGCGCGATCCTCCGACCGCATCTACAGTCGGACTCGATTGGACAGGACACGCGAGAGGACACAAGACCCTTCCGAGGGCCACATTGCCACAGGAATGTAGGAAGCACGGGTCGCGAGACACAGGACACAAGGGTACCTTTGATTTGGCAGGGTCGACCTACACCTCGCACGACGCTTAAGAAAACGCAGCTTTGCAGCCAGAGTCTCGAAACTTCTTAGTGAGAGTTCTTAATGATATTAAGAACATTTCTTAATGAGATTTGAGACCCTGGACATTTCTTAATGAGTTTTCAGAAACCAGACCATGAATTTCTTAACCTATGATTTCTTAACCATTTCGCGAGGTGTTCTAATCTGGGCCGACTGCACTCCGGCCCCATCTGCCGGAGGCCGAGGTCGAAGGACAGCGCCAGCCGTGCACCACGACAGAGCGTCAGAGAGGTCTGGGGGGGCCGTCGGGGTGCAGGGCCGCTGCGCCCGCGAGCGGCGCGAGAAGAGGCCGTGACCGTGGTGCGGGCGTTCCCCGGCGCCTGAGCAGCGGCGGCGCCCCCCCCCTCCCCCCGCGGCGGCGCGGGCAGGCCGAGGGGGGAGGAGGAGGGAAGGGGGAAGGGAGGAGGGAGGAGGAGGAGGAGGAGGAGGAGGAGGAGGAGGAGGCGGAGGAGGAGGAGGAGAGGAGGAGGGAGGAGGAGGAGGAGAGGAGGAGGAGGAGGCGGGAGGGAGGAGAGGAGGAGGGGGAGAGGAGGGAGGATCAGAGGAGGCGGGAGGGGGAGAAGGCGGGAGGGGGAGTGGGAGGATGAGCTCTGCAGAGGGGCCGTGCTGAGATGCTACAGAGCGCGCTCGGAGGCTGGGCCGGCAGCCCTGACCATCAGCGCGCGGCGACCACCACGACCTTCACCAGCAGAACCACAACCCACAATGACCATTACCACCAGCGACGACCACCGCGACCACCCTACGACGGGACACAGCCACCTCCACGGCCACTATCCCAGCGACGCGCCCATTACCACGACCACCACCACCACGACCACCACGCGCACGACAACCGCCACGACCACTACGACGGGACAGGGCTCACCACTACGACGGCCACGACCACCACCCCAAAGACCGCCACCTCGACGACGCAGCGACTGCACCCCCCGCCTCCTGGCCTCCTTTCCATCACTCTCCTGCCTGGCCGCCCCTGCCTACAGATTTCGCATCCTCATTTCTCGAATGTATGAATTGCCCGTCGGTCTGAAAGTAGGTATATCTGGATCCCCTGATCTCAATCTTCTTTAGCAGCCTTCCTGCTTCAAGGGTCGAGTGGTTTTCCCTCCTCTCTATTCAGGGGGCGGGCGGCAACCCAATATATTCACAACGCCTTCTTACGTGATGGTTATACCCCCGTCTTCCGACCGACGGGCACTAAATCTTTCATATACCGGAAACTCGGCCCGGGTGCCCCCAGGCCGTAGCACACTAGGGTCCGTTGAAATCCTTTACGTTTCCCGTCCCCCCCCGGAGCTTCCCCAGGGCTTCCCCGGAGCTTCTCATAAGCTTCCTTTGGCCCCCCCGCAGCTTCTTGGTAGGTTCCAAATGAGTCATTACTAACGCTCCCCTCGCCCTCTTGTCCTTCCCTGCCATGTCTCTCCAATTTAATGTCGGCAGGGCCTGCGGAGCGGATTGCACCCCCGTAGCTATTCCCAGTGCCGAACGGGAGCGTCTGAGCGCTCGCGCGCTCTTTCTCCGTTCGCTCAGGCGCACACACACAGACATTCATACATAGCTTACCGAACCTACCTAAACCACGGCGCCATGCACACCATCTGCGCGTCATGATTTCACAGATTTCTTTGAGCAAGACGGACACGAACACGTTGAGCAGGAACATCAAGAACCAACCAACTCCGTTAAGTCCTTGCCTGAATCCATGATGAATGCGCGAAACATTGGTTATAATACGAAGATTCGTCCACGAGACCAGGAGGCTGCGCTTCCCGGCACAAAGAAGGAACTGCGCGAACAATGCCACGGCACAAGAGGGCCGAAACACATCGTTTTCGAGCCCCCTGACTGCGTCGGTGTCTCGACTCGCGGTTTTCGCAGAACCTCCCGCTGCGGGCGGAAGAGTCTCCAGCGGAAGAGGGGCCTGGCCGCGGTGATACGCCGAGAGCGGACGCGGATCCGGCCGACGCTGACGCTGAGTGGTGCGGCTCGAGTAACCCGGGCGCGGCGCCCCTACGACTTGGCGCACATCAATCAGTCCTGCGCGATCTCCTCCGACGCGAAGGATGAATCTGGGGGGGGATCCCGACCGCATATTATTTCAGTCTCGCCCGACGACGAGAGGTCGGCGAAGTCGACGCAACGCTGAGGCGTGAACGTGACCGGCGGTCTTGGTCCGGGGGGCGGCCCCGAGGCCTGTGGCCTCGGGCGTTCGCCCATGTCGGCTGAAGAGGCGCCGCTGTTGTCGGCGCCCATGGACGACGGGCGCGCCCCGCCGCGGGGCGACTCGCACGGCGAGGCGCCTGAGCCGCGGGCCCCCGCGGCTACGTGCGTGGCCGAGGGAAACCTTCGGCCCTTCGATGAGGTCTCCGCTCGCGAAGCGGACTAGGACAGACGACATGCACGAGGATACCCGCGGACTCGAACCGGGGGGTCGCCCCGGGGGCCGCGCCTTTGGAGCCTCGATTTCTCCGGCCAGCCCGTTGCGAACGACGCGCATTGGGCGGCTCGTTGCAGACGCCGCCCGGGCCCCGACCCCCCGCTCACGCCCCCCGAAAGCCAGGGGCGCAGGGGCGGGGGGGCGGAGGCAGCGGCGGGCTCCGTCCGGCGCGCCCTCGCCCACTGCCCACGCGGCGCGCTCCTGTGCGTCGAGCTACCGCTCGGACGATGTCCGCGCCAACAGCGGCCCCAGCTGCGCAGAGTTCTTCGAACGTCGATGTCCAGATAGTCGGGGGTAATGCAAGAAGGCAGTGTGAGGGGCTTGTTCGGTCAGCCGCCCATTCTGCGGCACGCTTTACCCTTGTCCGAATTGCCTTCTGCCCCTCGCGCGCAATTGCAGGAATTGGAGCGGCCGCGAATGGGGGCAGGCCGAGGAGGAGAAGCGAGAGGCGACGATGCATGAGCTGAACAGGGCGACGGCTCACACGATGGAGCACATCCTGGCGTCGGAGCTTCAGCAGCGGGCTGCGGCTCGGGCCCAGGCCGAGCATGGCCGCGTAGAAACTGGTCCGTGCTATTTAGCAGGCGGAGGAAAGGCAGAGCGCCCTCGCCTCTAAGCAGTCGACGCGAGCCTGCCTCGAACTCCGAGAGATGGCCGACCGGGTCGAGGCCTCTGCGACGGCCGAGAGATGGGCTCGGGCTCTCGAGAAGGACATGGCGGAGAGGGCCAGAGAAGCCAGTCATGGGGCTAGTCGGACCCAGCAGACCGCGGTCTCAAGGATCGCCGAGGAGCTGAGCGCAGCGGAGGCACGCAAGAGCGCCAGGGTGATACGGCGAGAGCAGGACGAGATCAGCGACTCTCGTCAGCACGCGCAGGTTATTGCCCAGGAGGCTACTAGCTGCCACCGAATGGACTCAGAGAATCGAGCTGGAGGCGATCAGCGAAGTGATCGTCGCATCCTACAGCATCGAACTGCGGGCATTACAATGCGCGGTAAATTGGGAGGCGCAGCGCGAGCGGCAGTGCCACGAGCAGGCTGAGCATCATATGCAACGTGGCCCGCATTAGCGCGCTTCTTCGATCTGCCATGGAACGGCCGAGGTTGTCGCGGCCAGCGCCCCCTCCGCGGGCGGGGGCGCCGCGACCAGCCGCGCTCGCCTCGCGGCCGGGTGGGCTGTGGCGCTTTCTGCGAAAAGTGGCGGAGCGCGCACATGCGCGCCGCGCGCGCAGTCGCAGCGTGGCGAGCGCTGCGATCGGCAAGGGAACCGACGCATCGCTAGCGCCGCGGCCTCGGCCAAGAGGGGCCGCGAAGCCGAATGGAGACGCGGGGAAGACGGAAAGATAGAACGCGAGGCGAGGGCGAGGCTCGAAGATCGAAGAGCGGATCGCATCCCGAACAGCACGAGGAGTTGGCCTTTTTCGATTGCCCGCCATCGCCGGGGCGCCTCGCGGCTGCGCTACGAGCGCCTCTGAACAGGCAGTGGAGCAGAGGGCAGAGAGCGAAGTAGCATGCGCACGAGGGCACATGAGGACTCTACCAAGGCAGCGCACCAGGCGCTGTCGGCGATGGGCATGGAGCGCCACGCCGAGGCGAACGCAAAAGGGGCGGGAATTGCGCCCGGAGGATCGCTGAGTATCGGACACAGCCTTTCCGACGCGCCATGCGCTTGGCCCCATGACGAAGCGCGCGCGACGGTTCCAGTCAATAAATGATTTAGCGCACTGTTTCCCATACCTCCTGCGTTGGGTACTCCTTTTGAATGGAGCACTGCTGTCGCACGCCTCCCGCCTCCCTCCTCCGACTTGCTTGCTAACCTGCTTCTTTCTCATCGTCCTGCCTGGATGCTCAGTGGGGGGTTGCGATCTGCGGAACGGCCGCCACTTTCGAGGGCTGCCGCGGGGCCCAGCGGAGTGACGTGCTACGCATACTCAGATTAGAGTTCGCCATCTCTGTGGGGCTGCGACCTGCGAAATTGCCGGCACTTTCGGGGGTTGCTGCGGGGTCCGACGGAGTGACGTGCAACGCAGGTCCAGAGTAGACCTCGCCATCCCTGTGGGGCTGCGATCTGCGAAACTGTCGCCACTTTCGAGGGCCGTTGGGGGGGCGTCCAGCGGAGTGACGCGCTACGCAGATTCAGATTAGATTTCGCCATCCGTGCGGGGCCGCGGTTTGCAAAATTGTCGCCAGTTTCGAGGGTTCCTGGGGGGGTCCCATGCCGCGGTCCTGAGGTCCACGGCCTGTCAGGGCCGCACCATGCACCGTGGTGTCACTGTCGACGCCGGGTGCAAGGATGAGAACAAACTGAACGGACGACCTCTGGTTTCATCTCCACGCGATGCTGTCCAGGGCGACGACCGTGGACAACCTCCAGGTGATGCGCGACCCCGGATTGGATTTCCTGGCCCGCGGGCCGCCCGCTGACCTGGCGGGTCGCTTGCGAGCAATTAGCCCCCGCACTGAATAGTGCAGCAAAGAGGCAGAGAAGCTACGTCTCCTCCTGTCATTGTCGTCGTCGCCCACTTCTCCCTGTTTTCTTCTATTCGCTGCTGCCGCGCTGACCGTTCGCCCCCGCTCGCGTCCTTCTCCTGCTATTCGGTTTCACCCCCATGTCCTTTTCAAGGCTGGACCCTCATTCCTCGTCCTTCGATCGTTGTCCTGTGAGTCGTGCCGCGCGCGCGTATCCCACGTATCATGCGCCCCACATGACAGCGCCTGCACTGTCACTTCCCGTGCAAGTTTCGGCAAATTTCTCTTGCCCCTCGATGCGAATGGGTCGGATACGTCACGGGGTAATTCATCATGTCGGGATCACAGCCAAGCCAGCGAGTTTTGCGCAATGTGCGTCATGACTGATATGCGCCGCGATGTGCGCCTGGAGTGCCATCAGGCTTGGCTTCAAAAAGGGCTAGCACATTTGGCGTTTGAGGCGGAATCCCCAGACCATAAGCCCATAGCCCGGGGGAACCCCTGTGTGATGGAGGTGGGGACCCACTTGGGCGCCACCTTGCCGGGAGGGACGATGAGGAAGATGAGCTGCAGGGGGGGGAGGGGGAGGAGGAGGTGGAGGAGGAGGAGGAGGAGGGCGAGGACGAGGAGAAGGAGGACGAGAAGGGCGAGAAGGAGGAGGAAGAAGAGGAGGTGGGGGAGGAGGAGGGGCGCTACCGCGCCCAAATCTTGGCGGCCAGGGCGGCAGCCCCTCGATCCGCCGAGCCCCCTTCCTTTTTGGGGGGGGCACGTTGCGGGAGCGATCAGAGCGGCTGTCCCTCCTCCCTTGCTCCGTCCCAGATGCCTCCTCCCATGTCCCCTCCCCCTTGGCCTCGGCCTACCAAGATGTCCGACGGCATGATCTCTTCGATCCGGGCGTTTTCCCCTGATGTCGGCCTCCGGGTTCCGCTGCCAGGCCCCAGGACCATTAAGAACGGATCCAAGCTTGACCCAAGGCCCCAGGACCTCTGGGGCGTGGATTGAAAACGACATATCGGTGGATGTGTGAGGGCATTCCTCTTCTTTCTCATCATGGCAGTTCTAATCACACCTGCCCTCCCCGCCATGCCCAGGCGTCCAAAAGGGTAGATTATTGTTGAGTCCTGGCGCAGTTTACCCCCGCGGTGGAGGTTGGTCACGAAGTGAACGGATCTAGGTTCAACGCTCGGGGTGGGAGGTTCTCGGGCGTCTTCAGCCTCTCTGGGCCTCTGGGAGGCTCCTCGACGCCCCGGCCAGGGCGGCCAGGTTCACTTCTCAGCTCGGCCAGGACTCACAGTGGAACAGGTCCAGGCGAGGGTTTGCATGAAGGAAGCCTAGATTTCCGCAGAATTGTTGTTGTGATTCTTGCCGTTCTCACCGGTTTCGACCTCCAGGGGCCTCTTGCGGGCCCCAGGGCCATCCAACACGGATCCGGGACGAGCGGTTGCCCCCCCTGGAGGAAATGCCAGGAGCTTTGGGGCCGCGGATCGGAGAAGCCATGTCGTGGATGTCCGGCAGGGGTGCTCCTCCTCCTCCTCCTCCTCCTCCTCCGCCTCCTCCTCCTCCTCCTCCTCCTCCGCCTCCTCCTCCTCCTCCTCCTCCTCCTCCTCCTCCTCCTCCTCCACGCCAGAACCTCCACGGACGTTCTCGGATCGCTGCGGGGCAGCTAGGAGTGGCCGCCGGGGCACCCGAGACCGCGCCCGCAGGCTCTCGGGAGTTGCTGGCGGGCTCTCTCTGCTCAGCGCGTTCCTTTCCCTGGTTTGGGTGCACCTCCTGGGAGGTCAGATTCTGACTTTGCCCTGGTCCGAAATCCGTCCTAATCCAACCGGTTCCCGTGCAATCCCGTTGAATCCTCCCTGATCCCGCTTGATCCGCGGCATGGCTTTGGCGCAGTAGCCCCCCAAGAAGGTTCAATCCCTTTTAACAATTCCGACGAAGACCTCCCTGCATGTGCCTCCTAAATGTTGGCCTAGTCTTCAGAGAAGGGATCGCGACGTGCTGTCTTTGCGCGATCTCGATGCCATCTGGGTTGGTCCGTTCTCGGGCCCCAGGGTCATCAGGCAGGCAGGCCTTGGGATGAGGAGGGGGGTCTCCCCAGAGCGTTCCGCGGCGCTTGGCACTGCCGCGGTGGCCGATACGTTCTCCGGACCCACCGGGTCCCAGAGATTCCCGAATTATCCTCATCATGGTTTGTCCCTATGCTAGTTTCGTTTCACATCATTGGACGACCCGCGAGGAGAGAATCGACCGTGAGGGCGAGAGCTTCATGCCTCGAAGACAGCTTGGAGCATACTCGTCATCCATTTTTGAGGGTCCTGAGGTGCCCGAGTTCTTCCGTGGGACCATGAGGTCACCGGGAGTCAAGAAATTCCCGTGAGGCACATGCTTGAGACGCTCGAATGTGGTGCTTTTGCTCGGAAAAGGAAGCGCAGCTTCACAGACAGATTCAAGTTACCGGCTGATCTCGCTATTGCTACTCGGATACAGGGCGGAGACTCGCTATAGCAGCGCTTTGTCCAGGGCGGAGCAGAGCATCGATTGCGACGGTCGAAATGTGGGTATGCTTGCGACGCTTACCTGGTATTCCTGGCTCGTTTATTTCTCGCGTTCACATTAGAGACGCGTTGCAGCGAGTGTCGTCGACACCGGCTATCTGAGATTCTGAAGGAAAGCTAAATAGCTATGTACGGGCGGATCGCCAGGATCCCGGACCCTTTCGCAATCAAAGACCGATTGTCCGATCCAGGTGCCATTCCCGAATATTGGGCACGCGGCCGGGAACGAGACCGCTCGCGACAAGACTGGGCGATGTGTATGCATTGCTTGTCCTATATGTAACTACGTTTCGCCCGTTCCTCGTTCTCTTCTTATCCTCGCCCTGCACGCAATCACTCTGCAATGTTTTCTTTGCGTGTCCACGAGAAGTCGCCACTCGCGCACTCTTCTGCCCACGCGTCCTTCCCGATGCTCTGCTCAGCGGTGACGGGGTCTGCTGGCAGGCCGATGTCTCCTTTGATGTGCCTACCGTGTCTTTGCGCACCCGCTCCCCGTCGCCCGCTCCTCCCCCGCCATCTCGGGTCCCATCCCAATCCGATCGATCCGACTCGACCTCGGCGTCGGCCGGTTCGACCCGGTTTGATATTGGCACTCCGACGCTCCGACGTTGGCCGATGTTTTTGCACGGGTGGTGCCGCCCACGACTCACCCTCAACAAAAATGAACCCCAAGATTCGCCGTCAAGCTGGAGCCAACAAGATTCACCCTCAACAAACATGAACCCCAAGATGAACCCCCAGGACGCTCCCAGTTCGAGCCGAAGCCGCTTCTCACCCACCACAGAAACATGACCCCCAAGATCTGCTCAGACCTCCGCCGCCCGCGCGCACCCAAGATCTAACTACCCCCCCCGCGGAGTTTGGCGGCCGGGCCGCGGCGGCCCGCAGCTCGCCGCAATTCGGGCCGAACGAAAGGGGGGGATTGGGAAAGGGGGGGGGTACGAAATTTGCTGCATGCGGCTGGTTTCGGCCCCGCCGCCGGGCCCATTCCTCGATACATGGGCGCCTCCTGGCGCCGGGAGGCGCCGGGAAAATCAGCTACGTGAGCTGATTCTCAAACCCCCCCTTTGCTATCCCCCCCTTTCGCCCGACCCGGACGATGTGCGTCCCGGAGCCGCCGCGGCCGCACCCGGCGAAGCACGCCGCCGTGGGGGCCGCGCTGCGGCGGGACGGCTTCGCGGTGGTGCGGCGGTGCGTGGACGGAGGCGCGGCGCCTCCCCGGCGGGGGGGACCCGGGGGGTCCAGGGAGGGTTCCGAGGGGGATTTGGGGGGCGGTAGGGGCTGGATCTGAGGGGGGTCTCTGGGGCCCCCCGAAATATTTTGGGGACGTGCAAATCATTAAGAGAACGCCAGATGGTGCCGCCCCCCCCCCCCCCGGGGGAGGGGTCCGGATGCGCAAAGTATGGAGGAAACGCCAGGTGGGGGGGGGCCGCCCCCCGCCCCCCTCGGGGCGGCAGGCCGGAGGGAGCTCTCTCTGGGCCTCCCAGATGGGATGCGGGCAGGCAGGAGGGATGCTCAATGATACTTGAGAAATCGTCCGGGGGCGATGTTCCGACGACTTGTTTGCCGTTTTGGGGCATGTCTTACTATTTTTACTTTTCCTCCAGAATCCGCCTGTAGGAGGACCTGCCCGACCTAACTCAAGGCCTCCCAGATGGGGTGCGAGCAGGTGGGATCGGAGGACCGTTCAGCCACGCGCAGAGGGGGGTGGGGGGAGGGGAGAGGGCTTCTCAGAAGCACCCCTGCTTCTCAGAAGCCACGGGCCTTCTCTATAGATGTAAGGCCGGCGCCTTCTAAGAAGCAGCCTCCTTCTAAGAAGCCCTCCCCCCTCCTTCCACCCCCTTGTGCGCGCCGCCAAATCGTGCCGCATCGCCAATGCATCGGCGATGCGGCTCGATGTGGAGCCCGATGTTCTCCACTCTAACGGCACCGATACCTCGCCGACGTCGCTGATGCATTGCCGATGCATCAGTGATGCATCGCCGATGTATCGGCAACGCGGCGCGATCCTCCGACCCCACCTGCTCGGACCCCATCTAGGAGTCCTCCAAGATCGGACGGGGCTAGGACGAGGATAAGTCCGTTCCAGATCGTCCCGGAACGCTCTCAGAGCGTTCCAAAACGCTCTGAGAAGGCCGCGGCGCCCGATAATCTACCAGACTCAGAGATCACCGATTTATCCTCACCCGAATTCATCTTCACCCGATTTATCCTCCCCTGGTTCGCCCTCCCTTGCTTCACCTGGTCATCCTTCCGCGGCGCCCCGGCGCCCCCCTGCAGCGCCCCCGCGGCGCCTCGACGCGGGCGGCAGCCACATCCGCACCCTGGCTTCGTCTCAATCGGGCCGGGCGAAAGGGGGGGATTGGGAAAGGGGGGGGGTACAAAATTTGCTGCATGCAGCTGGTTTCGGCCTCACCGAGGGGCCCATTCCTTGATACATAGCCGCCTCCCGGCGCCGGGAGGCGCCGGGAAAATCAGCTACGTGAGCTGATTCTCAACCCCCCCCTTTGTTATCCCCCCCTTTCGCCCGACCCGACTCAATGGAGTTGTCGCTGGTTCTTGGAGGTTTGTTGCTTGCCTCGGGATGCATTCCAGCAGCTGCGCCTCGTCGAGAGCTTTCCCGTCGTGCCCGAATCGTCCCGACCAGAGGCCCGAGTTGTGACCCGAGAGCCACCAGGCGTCCATGCTGGGGTCAGGACTACTCTGAATGGGACAATCATCGCCCCCCCCTTGAATCCGCTGGGGGGGTTGGGCACGTGCTGTCGGCATGGGTGGAGGGTGGGGGGGGGTGGAGGAAGAGGAGGGGAGGATGAGGAGGGGGAGGAGGCTGGAGGGGGCGGGATTGGGCGAGTTCAGTCGGGAGCTCAATCCCCCCCCCCCGTGATAAATGCCCATCCAGACTAGGGATGTGTGGACACTATGGCCGTGGCAGTGATCCCTACCGGGTGCCACGGCCTCCTCGTTGTCTTCCCACGCGCCCCCCTGGCCCACCGCTCGCCCGCGCACGTGCCTCGGGCCACGGTGCGCACTCCCCCTATCGCCGTGGCACCCCTCTTCTCCAGGTCGAAGTCGGGCCTGTCCCTCTACAGGAGGAAAACTCAATAATACTTAAAGAAATAGTCTGGGGACGACTTTCCGATTATTTGTTTAATTACCTTTTGGGGGCATGTTTCACTATTTCTATTTTTCCTCCAAAATCCGCCTGTAGGAGGACATGGCCGAGCTAAGTCATGGCCTCCTATATGGGGTCGGAATAGATGGGGTCGGAGGACCGCGCCGGGTCGACGATGCATCGGCGATGCGGCTCGATGTGGAGCCCGATTTTCTCTACGCTGGCGTCGCCGATGCAGCGGCGATGTATCGGCGATGCGGCGCGATCTTCCGACCCCATCTAGGAGGCCTCTCTCTGCGGCGCGCCCGAAGGAAACGGGCGAGGCAGGAAGGCAGACAGGTTATGTCGTGCGGGTTTGGATCGCGGGCGGTGCAGCGCGTTGCTAATAAACATGCACGTGTCCGATTATATGTTATAGATGAACCGCACGTTCACACTCAAGGGCCCAAGGTCCTTTCCAAGAGCTTGACAAGCGAATGGGAGCCGATGGACGTTTCACGAGTGCAACTGCAAAGCTTCAGGGCTGGCGCTTCAAAATTGTACAAAGTCGTTGCTTCAGGGGTTTTCGCCATTCTCCCGACCACCAGAAAAGAATATGTGCGTCTTCCGATTTCGTGTGTTATTTGCCACTTCCCGTCATTCTGCCTGCATGTAGTTGTTGCTGAGTCGTACCCCTCTTCCTCCGCATCTGTTGCGGGGCTTATTGGGAACCTCTTGGAGGCCTAGAGGGCGGCCTCTCGGAGCTTGTTCGAAGCTCCTGGGGTCTTTGGGAGGCCCTCTGGAGGCCTCTTGGGGGTGGGGAACATGACGGAGGCCTCTTGTGCCGTCCTGGAGGGGAGGGCTTCTGGAGCCCCTGCTGTGTCCCCTCTGGGGCCCTCCTAGGCTCGCTTTGGGACCCTTTTGAGGCTTGTCGTTGCCGTCCTGGGTCGGAAGCTGGGCAAGGGCTGCTAAATCCGTGGCTGCTAAACTCGACCTCCGGGAAGTTGTCTTCGTCCTTCTGGGAAGAAGCCCGTTGATTGTTTCGCGTGCCGCGCCTCATTCCAGGAAGTTGTTTTTTTTGTCCGGGAGGGCCGTTTTAGCAGCCACGGTTTTAGCAGCCCTCGCCCAGCTTCCCACTGGGGGCCTCTGCCTCTTGGACCATCTCTCCAGGCCCTCTGCGGGGGGCCTCCTGGCGTGTCCGCCCAGGATGCTCGGCACCCCTCGCGCGACGAGGGGCGCTGCCCTCCCCTAAAGCTCACCAGGACTCCTGCAGCGCACTCTGAGCCAATCGCATCATGACGCCGCTCTCGTCATCAGAATCGGGCGGGTGGTAGTGGGGGATGCCCCACGTGGGTGAAGAAGAGGACCCTACATAGGGGCCCTTTCGTGCCCCCTGTGGGCCCCTGCTTGCTCCAAGACGGGCTCGAGGGGACCTCTGTAGGACCCTTGTCGTCACCCCCCAATTGAGGTCCGCCCCCCTTACCACCCACCCGAGAGAGCTGGGGGCACGCGCGGAGTGCCCCTGCGAGCTCCCCGCGGGCCGATCCCGCGGGGCGGGGCCGACCGGCGCGAGTCGCCCAGCGCCGCCCCGCGTCGCGGATCGGGCGGTGTTGTGCCTGCTGGTGGTGCGCTGCATCTCGCCACTTCCTTTCAGTCGGGCCTGTCCTCCTACAGGGGGCTTTGGACGAAAACTAAAAGATACCCAAGCCATGTTCACTTGTCAAAAATCCTCGGGAAAGTGTCCCTAGACTATGTTTGACCATTCTTGAACTTTCCTCCTGTAGAGGGACAGGCCCGACTTAACACCTCCGGACCCTTCTTCAGCCCGTGAGGCCCAGCCTGCATTCCGGGCCCAGGAGATGGGGCGGCAGCAGGAGGGAAGGACGGGAGGAGGAGGAGGAGGAGGAGGAGGAGGAGGAGGAGGAGGAGGAGGAGGAGGAGGAGGAGGAGGAGGAGGAGAAGGATGATGAGGAGGAGGAGGAGGAGGAGAAGGATGAGGACGGGACGGGGGAAGCGACCAGGGAACGAGGAGGAGGACGATGACAGCGTCTTCAGGGAATCCGATGCCATCAGAGTCTCGAGACCAGGAGGAGGACGGGACGGGGAAGAGGAGGAGGACGGGACTGGACGAGCTACTGTGGTGTTCCCCAAGCGTCGGGTAGAGCACTACGCAGCCACTCTGGCAATTGACTGTACGTCTCCCCCCAACCACTGCCTGTTCCTTCCAACCTGGGCTTGGAGGAAACACGAGATGCACATCCTTGAGTTCAGTCGGCCCGCTCCTTTCTCGTGCTGTCACGCGTCGCCTACCCCAAGTCTGCCACACACAGACACATACACACACACACACATACACACACACACACTCAGCGTTGCCATTATACTTTCTCCCTGTACGGAAGGCGGTGCTGGGAGGTGTGTGCTAGGGAGGGGGTTGGGAGTGACCACCAGACATATGCAGCGCTACCCTTTGTTGTACGGTCCCTTGCTCTCGCCCTTTTTCAATACAGCCGGGCCGAGGTAGAAGTTCGAGGTCGGCTCGTGGAGGGTACCCTAGTGCTCTTCGTGCTGGTGAATGTTTTTGTGCATCAGTGGGAGGGTACCCTTGGATGTTCTGTTTGTTTGGGCCGACGGAGGGTCTCGTGTTCTTGAGGGATGCTCTTGTGGCCTGGGTCTGGCTGTACTACGACTTCACCACGAGGCAGGCCGCCCGAATGTTGCACGTGTATCTCGCTCCCTCCATCGTTCGGCTTCGTTCCTCTACTATTGAGGTGATCGTCACTTCGGGTGTCGGTTTCTCCCTCAGATACTTCGTAACGAGCGTATACTTCGAGCCATGGGCTTACGTCTCTTCTGGTTATCACACATGTTCTTTGTCCACCTTTAAGCTTGTCCCGTATCATGTGTTGCAAACTTCGCCTTAGTCGGCATTGCAACGCTTGGTTCCTTGTCTTTCAAAAAGAAAGCGGCAACCACGAGTCTGGTGTACGGCCAGCGTCACAGCAACATCGGGGGAGCAAAAGGGCGAAGGAGGAGGAGGAGGAAGAGGAGGAGGAGGAGGAGGAGGAAGAGGAGGAAGAGGAGGAAGAGGAAGAGGAGGAGGAGGTTTGAGGAAGAGGAGGAGCAAGAGGAGGAGGAGGAGGAGGAAGAGGAAGAGGCGAAGAGGGGCCAGGGGGAAGATGCCGCCGAGGTGCCCTGCGCGCCCTCGCGGACGAGTACGAGGCCAAGGTGCTCCCGCACAAGCACGCCGCCGACGTCCGCCGGGAGGTGCACGGCGAGCCCGGGGAAGACGGACTCGGCAGGACCGCGGGCGAGTGTCGTCGGAGGCGGGCCAGTCGAGACAACGGCGCTTGGCATCGCTCGGACGTGTGCATTTTTGTTCCCTCGGCGAGGACCATCGAGGAGCATCCTGAAACATGTGGCGAAAAAAAGCACGCACGAAGCCGAAAAAAGCACGGGCCTCCCTGGCCTTTCATCGTCCCTGTTGGGCCTCCTGGAGGCTTCTCGTCGCGGCGGCTGGATCCGCCTCGAGAAAGGGATCATAGGCGGGAGTGCCGCCGATGGCTCAACATGTCTCAACTAGCCTTCCTCCGATCTTTATTTTTGCTGTCGTCGTGGACTTCCATTTTCAGATTGACGGTGACGATAACGATGAAGACGGTGACGATGGTGACGAGGACAGCGGGGGTGGCGACGATGGCGACGAGGGGCGGCGCTTCCTGAAAGGCAGGAGCCTTGTTAGAAGGGCCCGGAGGCAGAAAAACCTTCTTGGAAGTCGGGAGGGCGGCTTCTAAGGAGGAGGGGGGGGAGGAGGCGGAGGAGGAAGGGGGGGAGGAGGAGCGGGAGGCCCTGGACAGCGACGGAAGAGGCGCGGGCGGCAGCGGCGGGCGCGGCGCGCCGGGCTGCAGCGTCGGGCGGCTGGGTAGGGGCGCCGGGCGGCGGCGACACTGCGCAGCGGCGTAGGCGCGGCCGGCGGCGGAGGCGCGCCACCGGCGGGCCGCGGCGCCGGGAGAGCAGCGCGGCGGCGGAGGCGCAGGCAGCGGCGCTGCGCAGCGGCGCCGGGCAGCGGCGGCGGCGCGGGCGGAGGGCTGGGCGCGGCGCCGGACCACTGGCCGGTTGCGGGAGGAATGGCGGGCAGGCCGGCGGCGGGCGACGGCGGAGGGGCGTCGCGTTGGCCCACTGGCGCGCGCGCGCGGCTAGCGCCAGCCCGCGGCAGCGCGCGGCGGCGGGCGCGGCGCGGTCCGCCAAGGCAGCGGGCCCCGCCGCCACGTAGAAGAGAGTCAGGAGGAGGAGGAGGAGGAGGAGGAGGAGGAGGAGGAGGAGGAGGAGGAGGAGGAGGAGGGATGGAGGAGGAGCAGGAGGAGGAGGAGGAGGAGAGGAGGAACAGCAGAAGGAGGGGGAAGAGGAGGAGGACGAGGAGGAGGAAGAGGAGGAGGAAGAGGAGCAGGAGGAGTAGGAGGAGGAGCAGGAGGAGGAGGAGGAGGAGGAGGAGCATCAGGAGGAGGAGCAGGAGGAGCAGGAGGGAAGGTGGAGAAGGATGAGGAGGAGGCGGAGGAGGAGGAGGAGCAGAAGGAGGAGGAGGAGGAGCAGGAGGAGGAGGAAGAGGAGGAGGCGGAGGAGGAGGAGCAGGAAGAGGAGCAGGAGGAGGAACAGGAGGAGAGAGTAGGAGGAGGAGGAAGTGGAGGAGGAGAAGGAGTAGGACGAGCAGGAGGAGAGAGGAGGAGGAGGAGGAGGAGCAGGAGGGGGAGGAGCAGGAGGAGGAGGAGAGAAGCAGGAGGGGGATGGGGAGGCGGAAGGGAGGAGGAGGAAGGAGGAGGAGGAGGAGGAGGAGGAGGAGGAGCAGGAGGAGGGGGAGGAGGAGGAGGAGCAGGAGCAGGAGCAGGAGCAGGAGGAGGAGCAGGAGGGGGAGGCGGAAGGGGAGGAGAACGGGGAGGAGGAGGAGGAGGAGGAGGAGGAGGAGGAGGAGGAGGAGCATGAGGAGCAGGAGGAGGAAGAAGAGGAGGACCAGGAGGACAAGGAGGAGGAGGAGGAGGAGATTCGTGCCGTTTTGGATCAAGTCGGGGAAAGGCCCGTTTCTGAGTGCCGCATCTCTTCTTGGACGGCGTTCTGGGGTCAAGCCCATGCGGACACTTTCTGCTCTTCCCCATCCACGGCGTTTCATAACCGCTTTCGGACTCGCGTTCCTTCGGTTCTCTCGGGGTGGCGCCATGTCCCACGATGCTGGTCTCCTTGCTCGGCTGGAAGCGGCCCGACCTTCCCGTCCCAGGAGGTCCCCGGCGCAGGCAGCGTCAATTCCCCCGATCGCGCAGGACGAGGTTTTCTCGATGCGACGGAAAAAAGATAAGAGGACCCTACCCAAGAAATGGAGCCTTTACATGTTCATGTGGATGGCACTCGCAGTGAGCTGCACGATGCCTTGAGAAAGTTGCAGCACGCAGTCACGAAGTCTGAGAAGCAGGCCGATTGCGCGATGAGCCCAGCAAAAGACTGGAGGCACGCTTCGCGGAGTTCACTCCGCGGCAAGATCGCACTGACTCACGAGTTGCCCAACTTGAGCAGCACCTGGCCGCACTCGGACAGCTCCAGCATTGCATCAAGCACGAGGAACCCGTGGCAGCCATCTTGGGCACAGCCGCCGACCGTGTCGTCGACCCGTACATCATCGTGGTCAGGAACAAAAGCGTCTATTCTCAACAGAATCTGCAGCGAGGCGTCTCAGACTGGCTGGCAAGAGCGCTGATCGGAGCTGAAGATTATCTTTTGGATGGAAAGCCAGCAGGCAAACGCTTCACCCGACAAGATAGCAGCCCGAGGTATCCGGTGCCTCAAGATGCAGAATGGACCGTGGGAGAGACTCGTCGCGTCTGGCATCAACGGCATCGATCGCGAATTCAATGTCAGCCCTGGCAAGAGCCCCGCCCAGATCTAGAATGAGTTCAGACCCAAGCAGCTCAGGAAGGTGCGCGAGGCGGCCAACAGCTTGCTGCGGTTCGCGACTTCGCCGGCGTGGCCCCTTTAGCCCCTTATCCTGCGCCTGGCGCGGTTCCAGAGATGGCGGATGGCATCTCACGTTGACGACCTGGAATGCCCGCCCCCCCTCTTTCCACCACTCGCTCGTTCGCAGAGGTTCAGGACATGGTCTATCAGGTCAAAGCCCAGCACGAGTTGATTTGCCCGTTCTGTCCTAGGCCCGAGGAGGAGGAGGGGAACATCACCTTCTTTCCGAGGTTTCGGGTTCAGGGCTCTCGCGAGCCCCACTTAAGTTTTGATCCATTGGTTCGGGGGCGAGCTACCAGCTTGCGTCTGGGGCTCGACAACGGGGCCGCGGTTGCCCGCTAGAACATCCACACCTATTACTGTACGCATGAATGACAGTATGGTTGTGGGTGAGATCCTTCAGGGCCTGGACCTCGCTGAGACTGACCCAACATCTAAAGTGGCGATCGCGGCTGGCGACTTTAGCTGGGCCAGCCCGCCGCCCAAGCGAGAGCCAGGAGCGCATTGCCCAGCGCATTTTGCACGACCGGCGCCCCCACCGGGATTTGGCATGGAGGAGCGTCAAGTAAAATGGCTGAATTGGAATCTCCTGGCCCCGGTCATCACTTCGACCCCCCACGCGCTCTCAGCTTCGTAGATCGCCCAGGGCGGCGGCGCGCGCAACCCAGCGGCGCCGGCAGCGTCTTCGAGACTCCAGAGGTCCTCGACAGGAAGGGCATCTCGCGCCGCGCCCCGTTTCAGGCGGCGCCCATGCCCGGCAAGCCAACGCCGTTTCATGAACGCTTTGCCCCCCTTGAAGTACGTGGCCATCCTTCGCTCATTCATCTCGCGGCTACCATAGAGGCTGAGTGGCCAGAGTAATTTGTCGTCGCCGCTGCGCCTCGCACTCCACGCCGACATGTTGCGAGAGGCCGCCAGAACAGCCAAGGAAGCGACGCTTGATCTGAACCCAGAGGACCCATCCACGAGACTGTTGGTTGTGAACTGGACTGAGGGGGCGGCATGGCGTCGAGATGTCGCACCCGCCCAGGGGCATTGGAAGTCTCGCGCTCTCGGCGAGCTGTTTCTCAAGATCGACCCGCTGGCGCGGGCGCCGGTGCTCGATGGCGCCGCCGAACTTGCCCGTCGACGCGAGTCGATCCGCCAGACGCATGCACTTCAAAAGGAAGCCCGACCCCCACGAGAAATTGCGAACGCTGACAACGAGAGGACGAGATCTCGAATGCGACGGAAAGTGCGAACGGAGCAGACTGCGGTCGCCGATTGGCCGGGGACTCCCCACGCATGGGGTAAGGTCGAAGATTGGTTGCGCCAACCTAACCGAGCCTGGCGCAGCGCTGCAGGAGCTGGGAGACCACTGGCGCCCTGCGTGCAAGGAGAGAGCGATTCATGCTGCTGCCGCTGCCGAATGCCTTCGCCAAAATGAGCACGACGGTCTCTCTGGCCTTCCTCGTCCTACGCTTCGACAGTATGAACGGCGTCTCGAACGACGAGAAGAGTTCACCCGGGTTCGATGGGCGCCCTTATCGGGCATCAACCCAACGCGGCTCAGGCATTGGACGTGGATCTCGGGCGGATGCTCGCCTGTCGCCCGACGCCCCTGTTCTTTCAACCACGTTTGGGGCGCGTTCGTCGCCGAGGGGTGCGAGGGGGGGGGTCGGTTCAGGCCGTCAGGGGGGCCAGCAAGTCTTAGCCTGTCGGATTGAAGCAGCCGCCCAACAAAATCACACGGGGACCATTTTCGAGGGATTTAGTCGGGTTCTAGGGCAAGCGGCGCAGGTTTCTCAGGGGGGACTCGCTGACGGGCGCAATGTCAGATTAGACGCAATCGAACTTGATGTGAGGGCTCGCGTGGTTTCTTTGCATCGCGATGCAGCCGCCAGGCTCCGAGCGTTGATTTCCTTCGATTGCGACCAGGCCTTCCCGCGAGCGTCGCACCAATGGATCGCGATGACCCTGGAGGCCTTCGGAGCCCCCTCTCCGTTCCTGGCTCTCGTACAAGGGAGTTCGATGTTTCGGCGCCCACTGCCGAGAGTGTGTTTCTACATGTGCGACACTTGCTCTGGCGCAATCCAAGTGCGCCCTGGTTCGGGGGGGGGCTTTTTTTGCCCAGCGCGACCACGAGGAGGAGGAAGAGGAGGACAGGGAGGAGGCGGAGGAGAAGGCCCTTGTTTTCTTAGAAGTCCCCCCCGCTTCGCCTTGTTAGAAGGCCTCCCCCCCCATGGCGCCCCTCCTCATCGATTTCTGACCTTCGGTGCGCCATGTTGGGGCCACTGGAGTGGGGGGACCCCTGTGCGGGGGCGACTGCAGCGTTCCCCGGCAGGTCGGCGGCGGCGGCGGCGGAAGCGGCGACGACGACGACGACGACGACACACCCGCCGCCGTTGCCGACGACGACGCCGACGCCGACGCCGCCGCCGACGACGACGTCGCCGAGGCCGACGACGACGACGACCACCACCACCACCACCACCACCACCACCACCACGTCACGACGACCACGACGACCACGACGCCGATGCGGACGAGGACGAGGACGAGGACGACAACGACGACGACGACGACGACGACGACGACGACGACGACGACGACGACGACGATGCCGACGACGCCGACGACGCTGACGCCGTCGACGCCGACGACGACGCCGACGCAGACGACGACGACCACGCCGACGCCGACGCCGATGCCGACGCCGACACCGACACAGACGCTGATGCCGCCGACGACGATGACGACGGCGAGGTCCAGAGCGCAGAATGTGTCAGACTTCTGCTGCTGTGTACGGGCACCCCCTGGGGGTCGGGGAGGGGTTCCTCGCCGCGGGGCGGGGCGGATCCGCCTCCAGGTCCTGGTGTCAGAACGCTGCCCAGTGAAAGCGATACCCGGTCTTGATCTACGAGTTTGACGGTCTAGTGTTCGTGGGATCAGATATTTGCAACGGCCCCATCGGGTGAAGAAGGTGAGCGGGGAGGGTGCCTTCCTCCCCCTCCTCCTCCCCCTCCCCCTCCTCTCCTCCTCTTGTAGATGTTCTGGCTCCAGACAGGTCCCTCTGTTTTTTTTTGCTGACGGCCCCCTCGGGCAAGCTCGAACCCCCCCTAGAGCTCGAGCATTACGGCTCCCAGGCGGGCGAAGAGAACTATGCACATGCACCGATCTTGGCAAGGCCCATCCTTGACTCAGGATCGGTGCATGTGCCTTCCTGGCCAAGGCAGGAAGGCGTATGCACCGATACTGGGCTCAGGATGGGCCTGGCCAGAGTCGGTGTATGTGCATAGTTCTCTTTCCTCTATCCCAGGCAGGGGGGAACGCGGGGGGCGGGGGTGGTGGGGGGGGCGCGAGATCGTGGGAGGCTGGAGGGAAAGGGTCAGGGCAGACCGATGATCGCGAGGGGGGCAGAGGCTGGGTGAGCGGGGATGCGGCGATGGCGGGCGGGCGGTGAAGAGGGGGATGTTGATGATTTGGCGGGCTTGGATAGGAATGGGCGAGAACGAACGAGTGGAGAGTACGATGTGCCAAGAGGAGCAGGAGCAGAGGAGGAACGAGAGACGCGTTCGGTAACCCGACCACTGGGAGGGTCGGCGCACCTGCAGGCACGAGGTTCGCTGGCCCAAAGGGCAACCAATCGAGAACGTTGTTATGCTTGGCACGCTCGGAAGTAGACAAGCGAGGGGCCCGGATCAAGAGGAATATGGGGAGCCATGGCGAGAGGTGTCGCAGACCTTGTGATGTCAGGCCTGCATTGCTTCAGAGTCGAAAGATACAGAGCCCGGCTGGCAGGGTGGTTCACGTCGCCAACATGCATGAAATGCCCAGTGGCTCGGCTGACCAGCTCTTGTTCCGTTCAAGCCAATGCATCACTTCAGTGGATGTAGTTTCTTCTCTTTCCCATGTGTCCGTTTCTTTATTGCTCCTCCTTTACAATATTTGTTTTACACAGGTCAGTGGGATGTGGTGGAGGTTTTGACACGTTGTCCCATATTTGCGTTAGGCGGTGCCGAATGAGTGGAGGGAGGGGGAGGACGACGGCGACGAAGAAAACGGCACCACCTGGACGACGAGGAGGACAAGGAGGAGGCCAGGAGGAGGAAGTGGGCAGTGAGAGGGAGCGCCAGAGGGAGGCGACTGGAGGGGAGGCGGTACGAGCCGAGAGGAGGGCACGGGGAGGAGTTCGGAAGGGGTGAGAGGGGGGCAGCAAGCCAGGTCTCGCGCACCTCGCCGCAGACTCGAGGCCCTGCGGGAAGAACATGGGACAGCTGAAGCAGCAGTCCTCTTCCCCTTGTTCCAAGCACTCACTCTCGGTTTCCCCCCCCTCCTCTTCATCCCTCCCCTCCGCTGTGGTCATTGTGGCTTTTGGCTCAGGCTGTCAGCGTCTACCGCGCCTCTGTTTCTGAGAAGGCCCGTGTTTGGCTGCCCTGCCTTCGGCTGCGGCCTCGAATGCCTGCGGCGGCGGAAAAAGCCTCCTCCCTGCCGATGGCCAAGCAGCTGCATGAGGTAGTCTGACGTCGTGCCGACGCGACAGCGACCCCGCCGCGGGCGTTCAAGGATGGACGCGGCTAGTGGCCCAGAACTGGTCAATTTTTCACGCTTCGTGCCTCCCGTCCAGCCCAGTCAGAAGCCCTGCCCATGAGAGCTGACGGGAACCATGCAAGTAGTGAAACAAAGCGGGTAACCAGGGTAAACAGAGAGATATCTGAAACAAGGGGTTGGTTTGGGATGGCCTCTTCGGGCCATCCCTGCGGCCCGCGCGGGGGCGAGAAGAGGAAGAAGAGGAGGAGGAGGAGGAGCAGGAGGAGGAGGAGGAGGAGAACGATGACGACGACCACGACGACGAGGGAGAGGAGGAAAAGGAAAGGAAAACGATGAGGGCAAGGAAGAGGATGAGGACGAGGAGGAGGAGGAGGAGGAGGAGGAGGAGGGGGAGGACAACGAGGACGAGGACGGAGCCCTCAAAATCGCTTCTTGGAGCCCTCTCGGGGCTCGCTTGGGGGATCTTGGAGTCCTCTTGGGCTCTTTGGGGAGGTCTTGGAGCCCTCCGAGGGCTCTCTTGGGGGCATCTTGGGAGCCCCGGAGGGCCTCTTGGGGCCATCGTGGAGGGCGTCGGTGAAAAGAGAAGGGTCCTAACATTTGGCCTCCCCCTCCTGGTCCCTCGAAATCGCATCTTGGCGCCCTCTTGGAGCGCTCCTGGGGAGATCTTGGGCGCTCTTGGGGCCATCTTGGGAGCCTATCGGGCCCATAGTGGGGCGCTCTTGGGCCATCTTGGGGCCATCTTCAGGCCTGCGCATCGGAAGCGAAAAGGCGAGACGGCAAACATCATTGATTTGCCTCAGGTTGTTGAAGGGTTTTGTCCTCTTAAAGGGTCTTGAGGAGGCTCCGAAAGCACTTGGAGCCGTCTTACGGCCCTCTTGGAGGCATGTCGGGAGCTATCGTAAATCATCTTCGGCTATTTTGAACCCCATTGAAGGCCATCTTGGAGCATAGGAGGCCCTCTAGGAGCCAACCTGGGCGAAAAAAGACCCCCTGACACATCGCCAAAACGCAAAACAAACCTCAGGGAGCGGAGGGGGAGGGTACCCTTCCCCGAAGGGAGGAAGGCTCCTGGAAGAGGAAGACAGATATCGCTAGACCGCCGCCGATCGTACAAGGTTGAACGATCCACGCTATGCCATAAACAAACGCCAGAGTCGCCGTACGGCCACTCCTGACCGCCAGTTGGTGCTCGCGAGCACCACTCTGAGCGTCATTGGCCGGGACTCTGATCCCAACCGGGTACTTTCCCGCGGTTCCGTCGCCAGTTGCGCACAGCACACCGAGCAAGCGTCCTCGCCCGCACCCACGCTCGTTGCGATCAACAGCGGCCTTGCGCCCCCATCAAGGATGCTGACAGCAGGCCCTCGCCCACAAGCCCGCGACCGTGCGAGAGAGAGAGAGAGAGAGAGAAAATCGTCTTGAAGCTTTTCGAGGCCGTGGCTGTGAGGTCTAGCCAGGCCTTGGGGCAGAGAACGAGAACCTTGGCACCAGGGACAGGGCGAGGGCGAGGATGGTCCCGTTCGTCGTGCGTTGGTTCGCGCGCGTTCGCCTCGGTGCCCGTTCAGAGGCTAGTTCGCCGAGTTGGCGCGCATACTCGCCGATTCGAAGCGCATCCTGTACCTCATTGAGAAGCTGGACGACCTCGCCAGACAGGTTAGCGCCCGCGGCGCCGGCGGCGCTTGCTGAGGCTGTTGCCGACGACGTTTCCGTTTGTCTGCTCTTGGGTGTGCCTAGCACCTCCCACCACGACAAGAAGGTACGATCCACGTTCACAGATGCGGTATGTTTTGCGATGGCGAGACTGAGGGTGGAGAGTCAGCCGACGGACGTGTCCGAGAGCTCCACTGCGTGGCCAAAGCGGGCTCGTCCAGCAGACGACCCGGCGAGCCTCGGCTCAGCACGGTGGAGTAGATGTTCTGTTGTCCACCGCCTGTCGACAGTGAAGCTTCCTGCGCCCGGACTACTGCATCCCCGGCGTGATGCTCACTCCTGGCGACAAATGTGAGTTTTGCGTTGCCTTGAACCTTTGCGTCCTGAACCTCGGTGCCTTGGTCGCTCCCTCTGAGCTCTACGCGGCGGTCACTGCAAGGCGGCCGCGTGTCACCGTCCGCGTGCAAGCTCAAGGTCCTTGTGACCGGGTCTGCTCGAGGTGACGAACGTACTCTTGCATTGCGCATCGGTTCCGCAGGTTGTGCGCCCTGTGATGGAGTTCTTTTCTGTTTGTTGTCACACATCCTCCTCCTCGTCCTCTTCCTTCTCCTCCTCCTTATCCTCACCCCGCTCCTCCTACTCCTCATCAGCATCACCATCACCAGCATCAGCACGATCATCATCATCATCATCATCATCATCATCATCATCATCATCAGCATCAGCATCAGCATCAGCATCAGCATCATCATCATCGTTTTCATTTGAATCATCAGCATCATCATTACCATACCCCTTCGTCTTCCCAGTTTGCCCCGCCCCCCCTCCTCTGTATCAACTTCGCCTCTTCATCCTCCTCCGCATCCTTCTTCTCCCTCCCGACGTCCTCCTTTCCTCCTCCATATTCTGCTCATCCTCAGACTGCTTTACCTCATGTACCTCCGTACTATCCCTACGTTCTTCCTTGTGCTCCCGCCACCCATCCTGCGTAACCATGCGAGATGAAGCATGTGGTGCGGTAGTGCATTGAGATGAAGCGGTTGCGTGCGAAATGGTTTATAGTTCGGTGTGGTGCGAAGCAGTGTTTTGAACATCGGTGATGTTGGGCCTCGGAGAAATGATGTTCAGCGGAATGGTCCACTATCACGCATGGCAGAGCGATTGGTTTGGTAGTTGACGAGCTTGCACAATCAGACACACTGGCTGGCGCATGGTCAAAATTATCGAATCCCGAGCACTTGCATCTAACAAGGTGTAGCACCAACCCAAATGCGGAGGCCGAAGCAGACCGCGCTTGCGATCACGCTGCCATTCCAAAGCGTTTCAAAACTCGTGAGGCCCGAAATGGCCTTGGTGCACGCTCCTACTTCCAATCCATCTATTCAGCCTCATGGTTGTCTCGTCGGCGCAACACCTCTTCCACTTCGGTTTCTGTGCTGAACCTCCTCCCGCAGTCTCATATCCTCCTCCCCTCTCCCTTGCTGGGTATCCCTGGAGATCCCCTTGCGAAGTCCCTGGTGGCCTCTGGAGGTTTCCTGAGACTCAGACAGCCGAAAAACGTGGAATCATTTTTGTCATCGATTCTCCTCGATTCTCGCCCCTTCTCCGCGCTGATCCTCTCCTCATCGACCCTCCCATCGTCAATCCCCCTTTTCCTCCTCCTTTTCCTCCTCCTCCTCCTCCTTCTCCTCTTCCTCCTCTTCCTCCTCCTCCACCTCCCCCCACCCTCTCTCATCGTCTCCACTTCGATCGTCATCCACCCTCCTCTTCCCCTGCCTCCTCTTCGCCCTCCTAGGTCTTCCTCGCCCGTTCGATCCTCACCAATATTCTTCCGCATTCTCCTCTTCCGTTCCCTCAGCTGCCTCCTCCTCAGCCTGTTTGGCTCAGGCGTTGCGCCTGCGCTTGCAACTGCATCTTCCCATAACGGCACAACGCAATTGACGGCCATTGCTTATCTGATGTGTGGGATTTCGCCCCACCACTTCCACGTGCACACCCTTGATGGGACTCTTTATTATGAGATCTTCGCGGAGCGGTTGTCAACCACGTCTCGTCCAGAGTTCTGGTGGTCATTGGCGGTGGTGGCAAGAACCGTGTTTCGCGGGCACCGTGGCATCGAGGATGGGGTCAGTCCCTGTTGCGCCCGCAGCTTGGAGGAGGGAATCAGTATTTCGGAGCCGGGCGGCCGCCCAGAGGCGCGATCCAAAGGTGTGATCCCCTCTGGTACCTGCTCCTCCTGCTCCTCCTGCTCCTGCTCCTCCTCCTGCTCCTGCTCCTCCTCCTGCTGCTCCTCCTCCTCCTCCTCCTCCTCCCCCTCCGCCTCCTCCTCCTCCTCCTCCTCCTCCTTCTCCCCCTCCTCCCCTGCCTCCCCCGCCCAGGGCCGTGCCCGCGAAGTTCCTGCTGACCGCTCCGCGGTAGGCACGGCAGCGCAAGGGTGGACATGTTGTTGGTGCAGGTACAGGAAACATTGGGGGCCGCTTACATTCATGCAGGCATGGCTGAGAATTCAAGTCGTGACCTGCGCTGCTTGTTCGACCTCGTCGGCGGGCAAAACGCTGGCCTCGTTCGAGGGGCCTGGGGGGCGAAGGCACATAGACAACGTACGCAGCAACTCGCCCAGGCTGGAGACAAATGGGGGGGCACGGAAAGCCCTCCGATGTCTCACGAGGAGTATTTGCAGTTGGCGCGTTTGTGCGAGGAGCTTGGAGATGCCCAAGGAGCTCGAGCCCACAGAACGGCAGCGGCTGCTTTACAGCCTCCCACGCAACAGCTCGAATATCGTGAATTACGGTTCAGTCGGTCGCATCAGAAGGTTCGCGCGGTGGGGAAGAGGTTTAAAGCAGCGCGCAACAAGCACGAGCAGTTGGAGGCCCAGGTGCAAGCTCAACGCAGGAATGCGCTGCAGTTCCGAGCCGAACTTGTCGAAGCTGGGTCCGAGCATGGAGGTCTTTTGCGATGTCTAGGTGGTGAGTTGCTGGCCGCTGGCCGGAGCGACGCATCAGACGGGGTGCAGCAGGCTGGCCCGAAGCTCTCCATGGAGGACCTCTTGGA